GAAACTTTTTTGATTTAATTTCTTCAAGTTTTCTGTTCTAATTGTCCAAATGTAAAAGATTTTCTGATTCCATTAAAGAAATCAGTCTTACTGAGCCAAGAGAGATTCGTCACAACCGCAACCGCAGAACTTTGCAATGATATTGTTTGACAGTAACATTCTCACTGCTTTGATTCCAGGAATTAGCTTCATTTCCTTTCGAGCTTTTGCCGGTGATAGAGTCGCACAAGCGTGTCTGCAGGATATCATCATTTCATATGTTCGAGAAACTATTATCTCTTTCCGAAAAGGTTTTTTCCTTTTTAACTGTTTTCTCTCTCTGTTAAGACTTCTGAAATTTCTTCCTTATGATGCAGTTTTAGATACCAAAGACAGTTAATGGGATGAATTCTTTCTATGTGCTCGATCCTGGAGGTGATTTAACTGATACACAGAAAAGGCTTTCCAAAGAACTAGAGAAGTATACTTGTTGGAAAGGAACAATTGGAGCTGCACCAAAGCCGGAAGAATTACGTAACTCGTTAGAAACTAATGATCTATTCTTGTAAGCTTAACTTGTAATTTTTTTATTTTAATGTTTTCATGTATATGAAGGAAAACTCAGCAATTTTAAATAATTGTTCTACATTGTGCTGTTGTTTTTATCCTCCCTACAAATTCTTATAACATTTCAGTTTCTTTCCATTATTCAGGCTTTTTCTTTTTTAAGTTATATGGGTCACGGAAGTGGTGGTAGATATTTCGGAAGGTCAACAGTATTGCGGAGTAATATTCGCGCCGTATCACTGCTTATGGGTTGCTCCAGGTTTAATATCCTTTTTTGCATGATCTCACGAAATTGAAATTTCAATCAGACAAAATGATAAGGGATATGTTAATATCTAATGTTTTATTATTTAAAATTCAATTGAATTTTTAGTGTTCGAATAACTTACGAAGGCGAAGGATTCGACGGGAGAGGTGCGATTTACGATTATGTTATAGCAAAGTGTCCTTGTGTTGTTGGTTGTCTTTGGATGGTGAGTTATGCTTAAATGACTCGGAATTAGATTTGAAATCACGGAATGAGATGGTTTGTAAAGAACAGATACTTGTACATAAACTGATGTTCGAGATATATTATTTGATTAATTGATGTAACTAATACAAAACTTGAAGGCATACTCTAATTCGGAAATTTTAATATCTCTTTGCCTAAGGTCACAGATGGTGAAATTGACAGAGTACTCTTAGCTCTTCTGGATTTCTGTTTCTCGGGAATTCGAAAAGCGAATGGTGATAAAATTGAGCCAAAGTAAGTTTTTAAGAAATATTTTATAAAGTTTAACATCAACAGTTAAAACTGTTTCATTTTTACAGTTCATAAATTTTATTTTATTTATGTACTGTTTATCAAGTCATATTTTAGTTAGAAAGAAAACATAGTGGGCAGTATATTAAATTTCTTTGCTGAAAATAAAGCTCTTGATTGAAAGATATTTCAGTTCATCATATCGATTACTGATAGATGGAATCGCATACGCTCGTACGGCATGTAAGTTAAAGTACATGACTGGTGGTGCTGTTGTTGCATATGGATTACCCATTGTAACCTATCTGTCGGAGGATATGATGGAGATGAAGCAACAATCCAAAACAACGCAACTTTTTAACAAAGATACTACTTTGTTACCGAAATCGAGGGAATTATTAGTTACTCGACTTATTGAGAAAGGCAGTCTTTACTGAAGAAGCTGTTAAAAAGTATTTGAATTTGCAAATGATGTTTTCATAAGTTTCCTGACCGAATTTTTTTTTTATTAAAATTGTGTGCTGTCATTACGAAATTCCACTTTGGTCTTCATCATAAGAATTTCATAGCTCTTATCTTTATTATACAACATTTGCACATAAAATGCATTATTTCCAGTTAAATTAATTATATTCCTGCTCATATTCTAATAATGGTGGTAGGTGCTTCCCGAGAGTATATAAATTTTTTTTTGGATGAATCCAAAATTTAAAAAATATGCGAAACTTCAGCAAATCTAGAAATAGATATCGCCAGTATGCGCGACTTTTTTGGTTCATTGTCGCTGTATAGGCGTTTGCACCTGTAAATATATATTAGTCCAAAAATAGCTAGTGCTTTTACTTCAACACTTTGCGAAAATTTAAAATGTGTATAAACTTGAAAAGTGAAAAATTTTTCAGAAGTGTTTGACAGTATAAGAAGTGCAAACTGTTCTCCACATTGTTCTTCAGGTACTTTTTGCCTCATGTGATTGAATCACATACTGTCTCTTTTTTCTCTGTGTGCTTGTTCTTTCATTTTTATTCAATTCTTTTTTTTTTTTTTTTTTTTGAATTTTATCTTTATCTGTATACGTGCCGCATGTATTCTGTGTAGAACAATTTTATAAAATGTCTCTTTAAATAGCTGAATTTTAAGATTCTACATTGTTTAGTACTTGTAAGGATGAAATATCAACACACTGCTATAGCAATAAATATCGTACTTTCAATGTTTTATATGAGATGACGGGTATGTCTAACCGACGATGTTTTGATTCATTTGTTTGTAAACTAAGAGTGATTGGAAGTGCAGTTAACAACGGCTTACATTCATTCTTTTCCTTACATTAAATTAGATTTCATCTCACGTATCATTTACGTATTATGAAAATGGCTATTATGACAAATAGATAAATACATAAATATCTGTTCGTGTTTTTAGAATGATACTTTCTTTCATCGTTGTTCTTTTTATGCAGACAAAATATGCGATGATACCATCGATTTGAATATGTTAATCGCTGCATATATTCAGTGAAGATGATGGAGTATTCATTCGAACATCCCATAAACAGAAAAGTGTCCTTCATTTTTTATTTTTTGATCAAACAAAAGAAAAAAAAAAAAAAAAGTTAAATTGACTGTAAAGTCTAAACTTGCTGAGAATGAGTTAATATCATTTTCATATATTATGAATCACATTGTTTATACAGAATAATTCATAGTAATGAATGATGATAATGATGATGATCACTCTTATTATTAACCAAATAATGCTTATCACAATAACCATAACCATCTCTGTACAGTAAGTAGCATTTACTACTTCAGGAATGTTTGAAGAGAAGAGGTGAGCAAATCGTGCACTGTTGTTAGCATTGTTATGTATTGAATAATGGTGCTGAATATATGTATGTGTATGTATAGGTGTGTGTCTGTCTGTTGCTTGTGAATGATTTTGATGAAATTTTCAAGGATAAATCAGAATTTAGGACTATTTTCGCAACGATAATTATTGATTTCAAGGTTACTAAGCAGCAATTTTGGCGATACACTAATTCATCCTTATACATCGATTGGATGATTTAAAAGAGCTGGTTACATTTGCAAATTTAAGGTCTTTTTTTTTTTTTAAATTTTACTTCATTTATGATTTATTTTTTTTTTACGCCAAATGTAAATTCTAAATGTAGCAAAATGAAATTAATTAATAATAGCTCTATTAATAGATCTAATTTTATCAGATACTAATTTTATGTCTATTAATGCAATTACTCCATCATTCATTTTAACATTTTTTGTAGATTTAAAAGCAATCTATAGCTTAGTTTTAAACATTAAATAGATTTGTATGAAGTGAAAGCTTAAACTGGGCTGCACATGAAGAACGATTTAAGTTGTTTTCGGAGCTGAAACAATAAATTTCAATCACAGAAGCATACTGCTGAAGCTTATTTTTTTAATTATTATAAATTATAATTGTTTTTTTTTTTTTGATTTGATGAAGTGTGTTGTTTTTAATATTTTAATATGCGCCATATTGTATGTTTTCTTTGTTTTAAAATATTCCAATAATTGGAAAGAAAGCAATTATTACAATGTAAAAAAAAAAAAAAAAAATAACTCTTAGTTATTTACAATTTCACAAAAAAAAAAAATTTTCAATTTTTTTTTTGTAAATTCACGAAATTTTTTTTTTTTTCGGAAACTTTTTTCTAGTTAATTCATCGAAAATTTCAATTGTATAAAATTTCTAAACATCAGTTAACATCAATAATTTCCAAAATTTTATTGTATGAATTGGTAACATTTGTATCATACATTCATTAATGATAGATGATAATATCCCAGAAATTGTCATCAGTAATTGTTGCATTAGGAATTAATTCATTTATATCCGGAACAATGTATATAACCATCGTATTTAGAAGAGTACAGTAGACTAATGAGATAAATCATTAACCCAAATATTAGGCACAATACATTAGTGATTGTATAAGTCAACGTGTCCTAAAATTATTTCCTTTTATCGTTTTTTCTCTTTGTTTTTTTCTCTCTCTCTCCCTCTCTTCTCTCTCCCTCTCTCCTATCTATCTCCTCAAAAGAAAAAGAAAAAAAAAATGAATGAAAATATTTTGTTTTGTTGAAATTTTTCCATTTTAACATTAAATGATAAAAGCAAAAGCAAAAGAAAAAAAAAAGAACGCATAGGATGAGAATTGATTGTGTTCGTTTTATTCTTTTAAAAGTAATCTTTGATCGATCAAGGACTGACTATTTTGAATTAAAGAGAAAAAAAATTTTGTTGATATAGTAGTAGTATGAAATGATTTCCTTGAGAGAGAGAGAGAGAGAGAGAGGGAGAGAGAGAATGACTTGTCTAATACTATCTATAACTGCTAGAGATTTAGACTACTGCAATTTTGCAATAATATGTGCTATTTTTGGAAACTAGTAGCATGCTAAGAGTATTTCGAGACAATTTTAATTTATCATCGAGAGTAGACATATTGCAAAAGAATGAGTGATAGAACGATAGAGAATGAATAATCATAGCAAATTAATCAGGAAGAGATGAAAACTAAAAGAGCGAAAGGAGAAGGGAAAAAAAAAAGAAAAAAAGTAGATGCTAAGAGAATTGTTGGTTAATTTTCAGATATATGATATTATTTGAGAGAAAAGAGATTAGAAGGGAAATATTCTTTAAAAAAGATCGAGACAGAATATATAGGAGGAGAGAGAGAGAGGGAGAGAGAGAGAGAGAGAGGTTGACAATTGAAGTGTGATACATATAGCCTGCAGTGCAACTGACTGGTACCGGATGGTACCAATGCGCGGATCTGCAACGATTCTTGCTGGTGAGCATTTCCTCTGGGATAGTGGTAGTTGGTTACCGTGCTGTCAATTCATTGAAATTTAACTTTCTCTCTCTCTCCCTCTCTCTCTCTCTCTCTCTCTCTCTCTTTATTTTTCTGTTTTTTTCCTCGTTATCATTTAGTAACACATCAGTGTTCCCATCGATAGAATGAATATTTGATGAATCGTAGAGCAATCATTTCTTATTCTTCTACCGCGGTTGCTTATCTCAGGAGAAATATACCAGCTGAAATTGGAGTGTCCTCTTTCTCTCCCTCTCCCTCTCTCTCTCCCTCTCCCTCTCTCTCTCTCTCTTATATTTTCGTTTCCTAATCAAAGTACATCATTTTACTCTTTGCAATTTTCTTTTCCACATTGCTACTAGCTATTTATCTGAAGAAAAAGCCGCTTATTTGATAAAAAATTAATTTTTTTATAATGCCTAAATTTTTTTTTTCTTTTTTTTTTTTTTACATGAAAATAAAAAAAAAACATGAAGAGAGAAAGAGAGAGAGAGAGAGGTGGGAGAAAGAGGACAGCAAAAAAAAAAAAAGAGAAAGAGAAAGGATGATGAAAAAGATTGGATAATTTAATGATAAGAAATGAAATGAGCATTATTATAAGATCAGTCAATGAAATCGATCTATGCTAACTGATAATTGTTATCAAGTGTTCAACTTGAGATAAGATAAGATAAGATAAGATAAGGAAGAAAGGCATATCATTGTAAATTTTTATATTTCATAATGGCACTATTGCATATTATTGTTTGAATTTGAATTTTTTTTTTTTTTTGTTTTTGATATACATATATGAATGTAACAGTTGATTACATTGATAAATTTAATGAAATGTAGTGAAGTAATCATTTCAGATTGTCTAAGAAAAAAGGAAAGGAGAATTCCTCTCAGTATGTAATAATTATTATCAGTAATCATCGGATAAGATTTGTCTAAATAGTTAAGATTATATCATTAAGCATTTATTTACTACTATTACATCGATATCATATTTCAAATCTTTTTTTTTTTTTTTTGAATTAGGATAATTATCCTTTGTTAATCGTTAGGATGTCTTGTATTATTAAGTTGGATTTCATTAAATTTAATTAAATTAAACTAAAATAGCATGTATATTCTCTGTGTAAACTAATATAATTGAAGACATTATTTTTCTAATTCTAAAATATGAATTATTTCTTGTGTATTACTCTTCATTCATTCGATGATAATGCTATATTTGTGAATGAATTTTTCAGCAATTATGATAAGTGTGATTTGATTACGTTGATTAGATAGGTAATTGTATCTGAAATTATGCTAAATGCACGTTACTTGTTATCATTTATTATATCTATCTTATCATGATATCTATTATCACCTTGTTAGTGAATGTTGGTTGATAAGGTAGTAGTGTGGTGTGGGAATGGAAGGAAGAGATCATGCATGTCTGTTTGATTGTTATGGTGATAATTATCATTTCAAATGCTCTTCATAATTTTGCTATGAAGAAAGGAATGCTAGAGAGGAGACAGTTTAAGGATTGAAAGAAAGGATGGAAGAGAAATTGGAAAGATGAAATTCATGGTGAAGAAGGTTATCTCGAGAGATAAAGGATATCAATCAGTTCAGTTGGAACAACAATCCATTTGGTCAATTTGTCATTTTATCTTTTTGACTCTTTAAGACTAAAGATTTCTTATAAATGTTAACATTATTATTAGCTTTATGTAAACTAATCTTGTTGAAGTAAATTTCATGATTAACAATTTAACTCTGATGAAGAAGCAGTGAATTTTTGATTGGAAAATATAGACTTTAAAATATAACTGATAATATTTATAAAATGAAGAATATTACTTTAGATAAACCTAACAAAGTAAGGAAGCTATAAGAAGTAGCAGAGAATTTTTGTTTCTTTTTTTTTTTTTTTTTTCTCATTTTATTTTCTTTTTTCTCTTAATTACTTTCAATTTATGATCTTTATCATCTTATTCTGAATTTTCATTTCAAAAACTGTCTTCTTCATAGCTTATTCAACTTTTCGTTTGTCAAACAAGCAAAAGAAGTATAATAAATAAACAAAATGGTATTGGTTGGTACGATGAGGAAGATGAGGACAGTGTATTATATTTTTTTCTGACTGTTTCTCCTTTGAACTCGACATAATTTTCAAACTCGTTTCAACTTCCTATGTTTCTTTTAGATATTGAAGGTGAGAGGGAACGCTTTGATTGTTTTTTTTTTTTTTTTTTTTTTTTAAAAAAAAAAAAGTTTGAAGTGAACAGGCACTGTTTCTTTCAGTAAATCATAGTGTCACGATAATATTGTATGCACGAAACTACGTTTATTTTCACTTTTACTTCATTTTGTCAACAACATTTGGCATTTTTTTTTTTTTTTCCCTAAGCTTAGCGAATTATTTTCACATTGTTTAATTTTGCCTCATTTATTTTAATTTCTAACCATTTAATCTCTTAAAAGTTACTTATTACATTTTTTTTTTTTTTTTTTTTTTTTTTTGCTTTTATTATCAATTCTTTTATAAACTTGTTATTTTGTTATCAAACTTATTAGACATTAATTTTGGTTAATAATAATACCATTGAATTTGTTTTATTTTCAATGATTTGCATTCAAATTTGATTTAATTGAATAATTTCATCTGCAATTTGCAACAGAAAACGGATAAACTTTGTTAATTTCTCTTAGTATATTGTTGAATCTTTGTTATATCTGTCAATAATTACAGGTTTTTTTTTTTTTTTTTGATAGGTCTTAAGAAAATGGGACAAATGGGATAACTGTTGATTATTTTATTTGTTTCACTTTTTGATGTTTATTTCGATCAAGAAATGACAACAAACACATAGTTAAAACAAGGAAATTTGATAAAAATTTTATACTATCACACAATAATTTATAATTTGAAAACCACGAAAAGAAAAAATGAAAAAAATTTCAAAATATTTCAATAGCCTTGACCCAAACCCAATGAATTTCTATCCTTCTCTCATTTCTTATTGTCATTTTTTCCATTAATTCATTTTGCTTTCGGAATTTTTCATTATATCTGTCTATTATTTAAGATTATTGCTTACTTCCTGTAGTTATTCTCATTGATTTTTTCAAAGTGATAACTTTATCAGATAATTGTTTTCATTTTCTTTTCAAACAAAAAAAGAAAGAAAGGAAATAAGCATTCTTTTATGAAGAAATATGCATCAAATATTTAGTAAAGTATGATTTAATAATGTCAGAATTGTTGTACACAAAAAACAAACAATAATATCTTTGCTTGACCTCAATTTTAAAAAGGTTATTAACATCGATGTGAAGAGTCGATTAAAAAAAAAAAACATATATATTGGAATGCTTGTAATGATGCCACACCTGTGGACACATTCGAACAACAATTTAATGATCTACTGACTCATCAATTGCCTTTTTAAAAAAAAAAAAAAAATATTGAGGAGGAGAAATTCCTCATTGCACACTTCTAATTATCTCTATTTATTTATTTAACAAAACAAATCTATCCTTATGTTTTTTTTTTTTTTTTTTTTTTTGTTCTTTTAATGAAAAGTTAGCTATTTTCAAATTTAGTGAGAATAAAAAAAAAAAAATTCATGTCATATTTATGATTTAATGTAATATCAATTTTCTAAAAATTTTACTAACTTTTTGCAAAGTTTTATTCCATTTGTTTGTTAAATTTCTCATTAAAGTTTTCTTTTTTTTTTTTTTTTTTTTTTTTTAACAAGAAAATTATTTGAGTGAAATTTATGTGAATGTTTAGTTTTATTTATAGTAATATATGGCATAATTTATTTATTGATTGATCTAAATTAATACGAATGTTTTATATTATCTGTTTTGTTTCTAATTAATCAATTAATTTCGTCGAGAACAAGTTTTTTTTTTTTTTTTTTTTTAAAAATAACGCAGCGAAAATGTATATTTCATTTTTATATATACGAATAAAACAATCAAATATTTTCTTTTTTCAGATTTCTTCTTCTATTTCTCAACATTTGATAATACAAACAATAAACAACGTTACTACAAATAAGGAGAGAAAGAGAAAAAGAAGAAAAGAAAGGGAGAGAGAGAGAGAGAGAGGGCAAGGGTGTATATGGTGAAAGGAATTAACGAAGGATCAAGTGATAAATAGTTCGAAAATCTTTACTGCTATTACTATTTTTGCTAATTATTAAAGTACTATTCAAATTTATTCTTATTACTATATAATTATTATTATTATTATTATTAGTGATAATGCAATTATTACTATTATTATATTCATCAACATATTCATTCGTCTTCTTCTTCCTTACAACATTATTATATTTATCTGTTGTACAAACTGTTACTGTACCATCAACTACTGCTATCAATAATTTGCATTGTAATGCAGCATTTAAACAAGCAGCTGAAATTAATGAACCAGTAAGTTTTGTGTTTTTATTTTGTTGATTTTATATTTATATAAAATAATTTTTCTTTCATTAATTAAATCATTTAATAGATTTATTGTTATAGCTAAATTATTTTAATAATTATTAGATATTTATTATCATCATCAATATTTCATGTTAACTTATATAATAATTGTTAGATTATTATTATTATTAATTAATGAATTGAATTATATTCAGTTAGTATTTTTTTCAGTTCATTTTCTACTATCAATATGAATTTGAATTCATAATTTTCAAAAATTTAGTTGAATAATTTTATTGAAGTTATTTAAAATGTAGAAAGTAAATGCAGACGAATTTTGAGAATTTATTTGCTCATCCCATGTTTTTTAAATGTTTTTTTTTAAATGGTTTAAAAAAAAAAAAAAATTGAATTAAACGTAACTAATCAAAACTTTTGTAACAATTAAAATAAAGTAAAAAATTAAAGATATAATTTTGATGTATTTGAGTTTTTTTTTTTTGATTTATCTTTTTCTATTCATGAAGCAGAGTATACTTTCTTTTATTATATTGAATTCTTTTTTTCCCCTTGTGGAAGTTTAAGAATTTGTTTAATATTATTTTAGTTAAACTCTAAGGTTTTTGGTTCCAACTTTTTACCATTTTTTTTTTTTTTTTTACAGCATTTGAGGTAACGAA